GGTGTCTGACCAGGCTGAGGTGCTGTTTACACATAGAGGGTCTGTGGAAGCTCTGATCAAGCTCAACTGTTACAGGTCTGAACAAAAAAGAAGATTTAACGGTGGCAGAACTTGTGCTAGGAGAGCATGTGGACACCTGCGGTACTGCCAGGGCGGCCTGGAGAGCGCCAGGCGTGACAGACGCTGCTTTCCACGCCTGTGAAGTGGCAGAGTTCGGTTTTCCTCGAGACTCTAAAAGTTACTGTAAAAAATGGAGTTACAGGAAAAGCTTTTTGTGGTCAGTCCCGTGATATCTGTTCCGTGTAGATCCTGATCCCTGTTTCAAGGGATGACTTCTTCATTGGCAGGAACCGCAAGGAATTCAGGGGAGGAATCGGTGAAGCTGATGAAGGAAGAGAATGTTGAGGTTGTTGTATATCATGATTTGATATTTCTCCCCAGCTGGACACAAGCAGCTATTTAAAAGAAATCTGGAAAAGAATTTTGACAGAGAAATGTAGTTAGAGCAGACTGTGCTGTTCCAAAAAATATACCAAGTTTGCTTCCAAACCTAAGCTTTTTGAAACTCAATTAGGTTTTAACATCCGCCTTTCTATTGATGTCCCTTTAGTAGGTAAATGGTCTTCAGGAAAGGATGTGAAATGTCAATCTGGTTAATCCAGGCTTGTTTCTATTTCAGCTATAATATCATAGGAAAATATAGGTTGCAAGGGACTTCTGGAGGTCATCTGCTCCATGCTCGTATTGCTGCAGTTCCAGCATCACAAAAATACACAAATCGGATTTATTTTGTGATGTAGAACATGTTTTTTTATAAAGTTGGTTACTATTATTCCTTCTTTTGAAGGCAGGCTGGGTTTTGCTGAATGCTGGCTGCCAGCAGGCCATAGTGTAGTCTTTAAGCACGTCTCAATCTCTTGAGTTTCAGTGGTGTCCATCCAGTACCACGTGTTCTCCAGACTCTGAAGAAGGGAGTGCTCCTTCCCTGGGAGGCTGACAGGCAAGGGATAAATGAAGGAAATCGTCATCAGTTTTATCTGATAGCTGTAATGCCTCCTCTCGCTAATGAAGCACGTTATCCACTCGTGATGTCGGGGGTCGGGTTTGAACCGTTTGCTATGAAAGGTAAGGTCTCGCTTGCCGTTGTGGGTAAAAGCAAGAACAACCGTTGGATTCCAGACCCCTCACTGTAACTCTGCTCTCCTCAAGCTTTTCCTGGGGCAGAATGAAGCGGCTGCTGTGTGTCCCAGCCCGCTTACAGCCTTGGTCTGTCGCAGGCACGGCGGGTAAGGAGCTTACGTGGGGAAAGTACAAGTGAGAGGAAAGGCTCCAGACCTGTTTGACCAGCATCGCTTCCTCATCGGCATTGTCTGGCCTGCATCTGGAATTGAGAAAGTGATTTTTCTTGGCTCTTTGGGTTTGCCTTGGTGCAATTGGAGGCCTATGTTACTCCTTGCTGCTCTCTGCTGTCTGAACCCGAGTTCAGGTGGGTCATTGGTAATGATGGTGTTTACGTGGTGTTGAGCATCGTTCACTGGGTTCACCCTCCTCTGTGGATGAACTTGGAGCTACCCAGCAGTGCACCGCTCCGGCTGCATGTAGCAGTCCCCAGGGAGGCGGTGTCAAGCGGTGCTCGTGCTCTTGGGTGCATTATTTATACTCCAAACCTCATCCCCAAAGGTCATGGCTTGGAGAGCGCTTTCAGATTCCTCAGAAACCTTCCTTCTGGGAAGCTCTTGGCTCCCTGGGAGCCCTGTGCACTGCGTCGTAGTGGTGCAGCTTCTTGGGTTTAGGGTTCTGAGTAACCGTGTGCTTGAGAGAAGCTCTGTGCCAAAAAGATTTCCATTTAAAAGGAGAGAGGGAAAAAAAGAAATTCAGACATCTCAGCTATTCTTGCCTAAAAAACAAGGTGAATTTTCCTAAAGGCTAAATAGGTGCTTCTCAAAGTAATTTGCATGGGTTTCTTAGCTGTGTTTTGTTGCTACTTGTTGTAAGTGGATGCATCTGCAAGGACAGAGGGTGTAGGAAATTCCCATATTAATTGGGGATGGATGCTGTGAGTACGGGTGCTTCAAGAAACCGCATCCTCCATGGGAGCGGGTTTGTCACTGGGATTGGGGCACGTTGTAAGGGTGGTAAAATCCCTTTTGAAAAGGAGACGGTTCGTAACAGTGGCTTAAATTAAAACGTTTGAAAAAAATCAAATTCGAAGTAAACGTTGGGAAGCTTTTTGCCATTTGCTTGAACTTCAGGCACTAAAAAAATCCAGCTCCCCAAGCTGCTCAGACAATGGGCTGCCCTTAGAATAATTCAAACTTTTACGAACTGATCTCTTCTAATTAATAGACCTCCCAGTTTAAAAACTCCTGTGTGGTGGTAGCACAGCTGGTTTTGTGTGGGGCTCTTGGCACTCCCGGGAAGTAATTATCAGCAAATACATGCGATGTTGTATTTGCCTGTCTTCTTGTGATTTATTTCTTTTCCGAAGGCAGGATGAGCAGGGTCCTGTGGGGTGCTCTTGATAAGGATGCGGTGTAAGAAATTAGCTCATTACCAGTTAGCTAATACTGAAATGGCATTTTTAAGGGCAGGCCGATGCGGGTGAAGCAAGCACTGCAGCTTTTGGTGGTGCTGGTTTGATGGAGCAGTGTTGGGTGACGTCTTCCCAAGGACTGGCACCGCGAGTGCCCAAACAGCAGAGCTGGTTTGTGTCCCTGCACCGAGCAGCGCGTGTCAGACCGTGACTGCCAGCTTTGTCTTCCTCTCTGGGACTGTTATGTTGCCTAAAAACTCGTGGTTATGTTTCCTGGTTAAGCACTTCTACCAGAGAAATGAAAATGTTCAGAGCTGCGTTGTGTTCTTTGGAGATGCCTAAGACTACACTGACCTTACTGGATCTACTTTGGCTAGGTTACTTTTAGCAGGCTCTCCCAGTAGTAATTGTTCTATGCTTCAGTCATTAATGCAGGAATTAGTAAATGATATATTCTGTTTGCATGCTGCAGAAATAGAACTTCTCCTTTATACAAGCTCAGGACACTCGTCATGTAACCACTGCTCACGCTCTGCCTTTTCTGCCTTCAAACTGCCAGCTAAACCACACCTGTCCCCATTATTTGTCCCTATTTGTGTCAGTCCTTTCTACCACAGAGCTTGGATCCACTGCGAAATTATCCCTCTCCAAAGGCAGTCAAAGCAAAATATATCCAAATTCCTTAGCAGTTTTCAACAGAGCGGGCAGCTTTCAGGCAGGGTATGTTTGTATATGTGTGTAACTTTGCTTTAAAACCAAATGATCTGTGCGGGCTCGCTCCTATTCCTGTACAAAGAACAGCGCACAATAATCCCTACCTTAGTAAATGGGCATTGTGTGCCGTTCTTAGAAGATACAGCCGATGATTTCCTCAAAAAACCCTTTCTGCCCGGTCTGTGGAGCCACACAGCTTGTGCCAGGCTGCAGCTACGTGACAAAAAATATCCCCTGTGAAATTTGAGCTATCTTTAGATAACGGGATTGATTTTGTCTTTTTCATTCTTTTTTTCCGTGCTGAAGCTGATCCTGCTAAGCTGGATGAGGTGGAGCAGCCGCGTATTCCTTATCGATACTGAGTTGTGCTTCAAAATTAAAATCGCCAAGTCATCTTAGACACGCAGAGGTTCAGTTAATTCCCACACAAGGAGTATTGGGCAGAGGAAATTGGCCAGTGCATCCCCTGCCAGAAGCACGTGGCATGAGAGGAAATGAAAACAGTGGTGAAACTTTGAAATCTAATGAATTTCGCTGTGCTGAAAGTGCAGTGGTAAACTTGCACTCTCTGATAGCGCCTGCGTGTGCTTTTGGCATATACATCCAATTCCTGAGTGTCTGAGTCATGCCACGCCAATGGTTTGAGGTCTTAGATGATTGCTGCCTGATCATCTGGAAGTGTCTTGTCAGAGGACTAACACTTTGTCCAGGAACAGACTGCTTTTTAGTAATATTCATCCTCCGTTGGCTGAAGTGCCCCGTCCTTCCTCTATGGGGCTGAGGCCCCACGGCCACCTCTGCTGTTGGCTCCAGAGCAGAGCCGTGTCCCTGTTTACCCTTGGCGCTGGGTGGCTGCAGCCCCCTCTACCCAGAGCTGTCCCCAACACCGTTTGTGTGTCAGTAGGTCAGAAATAACGCCCGTTGCCAAGGTCCATACCACCTGCGGAGGCTCAGTCCACGCCACCAAGAGACCATTTCTGCCTCCGAATGCAGACCTGGCTGCTGGTCCAGCTCTGTGACGCAGCGGGGGACATGGGGCTGTGTCCCCCCACGTTCTTCACTGTCATTGTCACCAGTGCTTCTCACTGAAGTGCCCAATAACCTCCAATAAACCATGGGATGCTGCTGGCAGAGCAGGACTTTGCTTCTGGAATTTTCTCCTGACGTGATGTATCCTGATAGCCTAAGCTGACTGCTCTGAGCAGATTCCTGAGTGTTTCTGATTAACGGGGCTATTACTTCCTCCTGCAGTTGCCTGTTTTCTGTGAAGGGATAGGATCGGCATAGCAAATAAATACGTTATATTCATGTAGATTATAGCATTGCCTGCTGATTGAGTGCCTTTCTATAGGCAGGACTGTATAGTCTCTGCACACCAAACAATACCCTTTCATGCTCCAGTACAGCTTCCTTCCTTGTGAGTTATTCTGAAAGCCCGTTGTATTTAAATGCTTAGCAGCGTGTCAGCTTTCACTCGTGGTGAGAGATTTAGGAGGTGCAAAGGCACCATTATTTTAGGCAGGACAATACTTTGATATAAAATTGAAAGTCGTGAAGCGGGGTGGTTGTCACTTTTACTGACGGGGCGAATGGACCTGTCCTGTGTGAGGGAGAGCAGACAAATTGTTTTCAAGCTCTGACAAATGATCCTGTGGTTGGGCTCCAGCCTTTGCCTCTCAACTGCTTTTAATGATTAACTTAAATATTTTTATAGCATCTTGAGATTTTTAACCTCTGGTTTATTTTCTCTCTGCAGTTGGAAGAATCCGAGGCCTTTATCCTCTGGGCAGCTTTTCGGTTCGGGTAGCCTCTGGTTTCAGACACCTCATCATTTCCGCCTGCCAACCTGTCTGATATGTCGGGACCCGTGCCGAGCAGGGCCAGAGTTTACACGGATGTGAACACACACAGACCCCGCGAGTACTGGGACTACGAGTCGCATGTCGTTGAGTGGGGGTGAGTCTCTGGGGTGTCCCTGGACTGGGATTGATCCCTTTAGGATCCTCCTTAGTGGTGTATGGGGAGGTGGGCCACTCGTGCTTTAGGCTTTTTCATGCTCCGTGGCAGGTGTCTGGTGTGTGTGGCAGATGTTAGGATCACAACTTTTCTTGGGAAAAGTGTTTCTTGTAAAAGTTATAAATCCCCAGCAGTGCAAGAACACTTTGAGCAGCTCCCTTAAGAGCTTGTTTTGAAGAGTTTTGGCCAGGTAGTCAGGAAACTTGCCCTTACAGAGGGCAGAAAATCTTTTATGTGAAGCAGTCCAGCCAGCCCCGGGTGTGGGGCTGAAGAGAAGCGAAAAGGCTCTGATGTTGCCTCTTGGGTGAGCGAAGACACTGAGCAGACTGAAATAGGTCCGTGCTATTCTGTGACTTGTTGCTCAGCAAGCTGCGAGTGACTGGAAGCGACGTCTGCTGCTGTTTGAAGGAAGGAGGTGTCTAAATCCAGCTCATGACTAAACCGGCCAAGAATCAGACAGCAGCGATGGCAGCTTCGCAGCTCTGCGCTCCTGCCTTTGTGTAGCAGGGCCCAGGCTGAGTTGTGCCCTCAGCTTTGTTGCAGTTCCTGGTGTCTGAAGTGTCCACAGTCTGAGTGCCTGCTCTGCTCCTAAAAATTTGGGTTTCTTCCTTGATTTTTAACAATATTATGCAAGGAAAAATGCAGCTTCCAAATATGTAGAAGGGATAGCTCAAGGTTGCTGATGCCGAAATGCAAAGTTGGGTTTATGTTACCTACTGCAGAAGAAATAAATCCGGATTGAATCTGATTTGAGGGAGTAGAAACTCCCTGTTTCTCTCCTAATTCTTCATCATCGCGTTCAGGAGATGTAAAACATTAATTAATCTGCCTTGGCTGAAAGGTGAGGCGCTGATTTAGCGTTAGGGAGAGGTCTGTGTGTTGTGATGGAAGTGACTGAGCGCTTTGGAACTCTGAACTTTTTATCTCCACAGAAATCAAGATGACTACCAGCTGGTTCGAAAATTAGGCCGTGGCAAATACAGTGAAGTATTTGAAGCCATCAACATTACAAATAATGAAAAAGTAGTTGTTAAAATTCTCAAGGTGAGCTGGGGATTGGGCAAAAGATAAAATCTATCTGGAGGTGGTCAGGAGGTCAGGAAGTGCAGCATCTGGTCTAAGATGTTCCCTGTTCTAAACCTGAAATCCTTAAAGCCTGCCTCAGTGCAATGGGCCATCGTTTTGAGCCTCCTCATAGAAGCCATGCACTTGGTTATGAAGTCAAAACTCTGCCTGTAAGGAATGAGCCTCTCTCTTAAAGAAGTCCTGATGTGCAACGTGTTTTAACTTGGAGCTAACAGCAGCTGACAAGAAAATTCTCCCCTCCTCTGCCTGCCCGTCCCGTGCATAGAGGCCTATGAGCTGATGGGACGTTGTCTTAAAGCCACTTGCTAGATCTAGGGACTGCTAACCTTAACATTTCCATTTCTGCTCTGCATGTTCCATTGCGTAGGTAATAACCTTCCAGACTGGGTAAGGGTCTCCTGGATGCCAGTTACTCCACAGTTAGTTCACCTTGATTGATGAAATGCTTTCATTTAGTGGCCCTCAGCTCATGGACTTGGTTAAACATTTACCATATACCGGTTAAGAAGTTTTGAACTATCAGATCATGTTCAGACAGCTTTTAAAAAAACAATACACCGTCTTCCTAACCCTCACTCGTGTGAAACTGATGTTTGTAGCTGTCAGGGCTGTATGGTTAGAAAGGAGGCTGCTGATATTTGAGCCCTTACTGGAGCGATGCACACAACACAGTCTGGCTGTTGGAACTCGCAGAGGCTCTGATGACTCTGATTTTGCTGACTTGCAGTCACCTCTCTCTGTTGTCTGGATGTTAGGCTGCCTGTTAGCCTCACTTTACCGGATATTTGGTCTCACACTTTGGGTTTTTATTCTTCAGCCTGTTAAAAAGAAGAAAATCAAGCGTGAAATCAAGATCTTAGAGAACTTGCGAGGCGGTCCCAATATAATCACTCTTGCAGATATAGTAAAAGATCCTGTGGTGAGTATGGAAGGAGCCTAAAGGGTACACTGGGGTTATAGGTGAAGTTGCTGCGTTTGACTCCAGCTCTGATTTAGCATTTTGTTTTCCCCTGCTCTTAAATCCTGCTTTTGAATTGCTTAATCAGATCAGCTCTTAATCTGATTAACTTCTCACAGAGGGCCCTTCCCCCAGAGGTCCCTTCGGCCCCTCGCTCTGTATGGGTGAGACACCAGTGAACTGAGACAAGTTAATTCATCTACAAACAGCGCTGCCAGGGCCGCAGGCTTTGCCTCTGCTCTGGGGGGAAATCGCAGCGTGTCTGAGGCAGAGGGGCCTTCAGCAGTTTGAGGAGTAAAAACGGTTTAATTATCCTAAATGAAACATCATAACTCGATTTAACATGGCTGAATGCTTTTCTCTCTTGTTTTAGTCTCGGACACCCGCTTTGGTTTTTGAACATGTAAACAACACAGACTTTAAGGTACAGTGTGGGATGTGAGCTTCTAATGTTTAACCTTTGAGAGCCGCTCGTAACGCTTTTCTGAGGAAAGGCAAGTGCGCAGGGGGCAGGCAGGTTATTTAATAATTTCCTTCCAACATAGTAACTGTCTTTAAAGGTAAATACACTTGGGGAAGAGGTTGGTAACTAGGCCTTTAGTATCATTTTGCCACAGCAGTTACAAGATGAGAAGCCAGATTCCAAATGGTTTTGTAACCTTCAGAGCAAGTTCATCTTGTGGACCATCAGTGCCTGTCTTGTAGAAACGCTTTGCTTTCATGTTCAGCGTATAACTTTTGGTTAGAAGCACTTTAAACGTGGACAGCTGTTTCTGTGGCTTTCCATGCTTCTGGGAAAGGGGATTTCGGTGTCTCTTTGTCCCCTCTCCTACTGACCCACCTCGGGAGAACAATGGCTGTGCAGTGCCATCTGGAATAGCTGCTTCGTGTTGCAGAGCACCCTCGGTCTGTTTGAGACCCTGTCTGCAGGGGTAATTTATTCTGCTGGTGGTGTCTGCAGCCTGAGGGAGTCAGTGATGACCCAGAACGTCCTGTGAGCAGAGCTGGGAGTAAACTACGTACGTGATTTGTGAGGAGAGAGGAACAGACAGCTCAGAGTCACTTGGGGAACTTTGTCCATTCAAATGGGTTTGGAGAACCACAACGGCAGAGGACGGGGCTGGGTTGCTCCAGGTTGGTGGGGGTGTGATGTTTTTCTTGGGTGTTGACCACTGATTCGATGTGTTTGTGTCCCACAGCAATTATACCAGACATTAACAGATTACGATATCCGATTCTACATGTATGAGATTTTGAAGGTGAGTTGGTGTTTTGCTGCTTTGTCAGTTTATTTCCAGGCTTTGCACTCAGCCAATCCGATAGAGATGGTTATTGTGTCACTAATAGGGGGGAAGAGGAGAGAAAGCTGATGGAAGAATTGGATAGACAAATACACATCAAGTCAGTATCAGTTGTTCAGCTTTGTTTCTGCAACAAATTCGAGTCCTTTGCTTATTTTGGATAGCAGAACCTTTGGGTACACTGAGATAACTTATGATCCTAAATCAGAAGTGTGTGAAGCCTCTGAAAACAGAAAATTGTAAGCTGTTAGTGGCTGGGTTTATGTCAATCTGGAAATGATTGAACTTGGAAGGTTCTTGTGACTGCAGCATCTGTTCCTGTGTCACTTACAGGCTCTAGATTACTGCCATAGCATGGGAATCATGCACAGAGATGTCAAACCTCACAACGTCATGATTGACCACGAGCACAGAAAGGTAATAGCGTGGGGCAGGCTGGGGCCCTGCTGTTCTCTTGGCAAATTGGGATCTGTTTTGGGTACTCCTGTGTAGTGCTATTAGCATGTTCAAGGAAGGCTGTGCTTCCATCACGTGGAGAAATGTAACATGAAATTCTGTACGCTGCTTTTCTTCAGTTTTTATGGGTTACGTGTAACCCAGAAACAGGGTTGGGAAGAGAGGTGTTTTATTTAGACCGGTTGGTGATATGGGTGTGGGGAGAACATCTAAGGAGACACTCTGATCAACGTCAAATTAATTGGAAGTAGAAGTCTTGCAGATGAAGCTTCAAACTAAACTGACCTGTCCGTGGTTCAGCCAGTGAGCCTTTTTGTCTTTGTTTTCTGCCATTTCTAGCTTAGACTAATAGACTGGGGTTTGGCTGAGTTCTATCACCCCGGCCAAGAGTACAATGTCAGAGTGGCTTCCAGATACTTCAAAGGACCTGAACTCCTTGTAGATTATCAGGTAAGAAATACCAGGATTTATCACTGACTTTTATATGCAAAGTCTGTGCTATTTCAGGGTAGCAAACCAGAAATTCAGATATCAAGAGACCTGAAGCTAAAGACGGTCTGTTTTAAAATGGATCACAGAAAGCAGTGGCTATAAAGCCCCTGAATTAAAGAACTAATGAGTAGTCTCAGGACCTGAGCGAGAGCTGCAGAGCTGTCATCATGGATCTTGGAATACAAATGCTGAATATTTTTTTAGCAAGGCTGCTTTAGCAGTAAGGTACAGGGCTGAAACAAAGCCCTTGTGGGAATAGCGAGGACTGCATGATCTTCTAAATTAAGCTCTAAAAACATCCCCTATCTGCTGGCAGTTTGCATTATGGAAATGCTGTGGGCTGGAAATAGCAGTGGTACTGGTGACTGTCAGATCACGCCAGCTCTGAGTGAAGGCGCTTCCTCACCTGCCCATGCACCCTGTGGAGTCCGCTCCTGTTGCTTGTGGTGCTTCCCTTCTCAGCCCGTCTTTCTCATGGTTCACAATCCTGAGTTCTGCAGCGAAAACAGAAAAAGCTCTTTAATATCTTTATGGACAAGGATGGAAATAAGATACTGGCTGCTCTGCTAGTTGCTGTATCCCAGTTTGAGGAACTGGAGCACCGAGCTGAACGCTGATCTGGAGATGAAGGTGCATGAAGATATTTCAGTCTGTTCCCAGCGTGATGTGGCCGCGTTTGTGTCACTGGAGGGAGGGGGAGCCTGTTAGTTTTGGGAGCCTGTTTTGCTTAACTAATTAGAAATTGATTTGTCCTTCTGGTTTTGTGCAGATGTATGATTACAGTCTGGATATGTGGAGCTTGGGTTGCATGTTGGCTAGTATGATATTCCGAAAGGAGCCGTTTTTCCATGGCCACGACAACTATGATCAGGTGAGAGCTGGTCACGTCCCATCGCTGTTCTCTTAGCACCGTGAGGGATTCCTGCTTATATAAATATTGAGGGATCTGAGGAAGAGTTTAAGCATTTCTCTAATGGCTTCTCTGCTCAGCTTGAAGCCACGTTCCTTTTCTCAAGCGTGCAAGATTACCTAACTTTTCAAGTAGAAATAGATTTATAGTGCTTTGGATTTGAGCTCAGTAGGTGTAATGGTAGTTTTATTAATTCTGGTACGTAGATCAGCTACTCCTGAGGTTATGTTCTGTGCAGAGCCCCTGCCACTGTCCACCCTCCCTCCCTTCTGTACAGAAACTGTGAATTTGGTACAGGTTTACATAGACTCTGAAATCTTTGATGTGTTGCCTTTAGACCAAGATCTTTATACTTAAACCTTTGACGCTGTGCTCTGCATCTGAAGTGCAATATGGTCAGGGAAGTCAGAGCCAGGAGAAGACCCTGTGGCTGCTGGTTCACAGGTTCAAGCTCCCAGGGGAATGTGCTGCTGTATCTTCACACTGACCCTGGCGTTATTGTACCATTGCAGAACTGACTTCTTTTTCTCTCTGTTCCCAGCTGGTGAGGATAGCCAAGGTGCTGGGAACAGAAGATCTCTACGATTACATTGACAAATACAACATTGAACTGGATCCACGTTTCAATGACATCTTGGGCAGGTGAGCCAAGGCCTGGAGTAGCTCAGAAGCTCTTGGTAGAACTGGACAGCAACTGCGTTGTCAACAGAGCTTGAAGTAAACAAAAAATTGTGCTTATGGGAGAAATCAGAGCCAAGATCCTTGAGAAGTGTCACTTCGTGCCCTTGATCCCTTTTCCCAGTGCTTCCCATGGTCCTTTATCTGCAAATGGACTTGAGGAAAGGTTCTTTTGAAATGTCAGCTAGGCAATAAGTGAACTGCTGGAGCATAGAGCATGAAGGGCAAGTGCTCTCTCCAGTATTACAGTGGAAAAAATAAAAACCAATGGTACCAATCAGGTATTGCTTTAAGATGGCATTTACTTATATTTTTTCCTTCGTGGAGTTGTTTTGTGTGACACAAAAATGGCAAAACTATAAGAAATTGGTGTTGAGGGCATCGGGGAAGAGCAGGAGCTGGGATCTGAGGCCTGTAAACGTGCTCTGTACACGAGCCCTCGCGGTGTCCAGGGCTGTGGTGGCTGTGCCGCCACGTGGAGACGCAGTGTACTGCCACTGTGCACTGAGCTGCGGCCCTGCTCGGAGACAGAGACGTCTGTCAGGGTTCTTGCTCTTAAAAACACAAAGTTTGGCATTGAATGCCCTCTGCCTGGCCTGATCTGGGGGTCTTTTTTTCTCCTCCAGACACTCCCGTAAGCGATGGGAGCGCTTTGTTCACAGCGAGAACCAACATCTGGTGAGTCCAGAAGCTCTGGATTTCCTAGACAAGCTGTTGCGATACGATCACCAGTCACGACTTACAGCGAGAGAAGCCATGGAACACCCCTATTTCTGTGAGTATCGGCTGCTGTCCGGAGAGATCTGCCTCTGCCTCTGGGAAATCTCTGCTCCAGGAGCTAAGAACAGCAGCATAATAAGCCCGGTCTTTGGAAATAATTGCAGAGTGGTGGGTAAAGTAGGGCACTGCCACCTACACCAGTGAGGAAATGAAGCGTTATCTGCCCGTGTCAGGCTGCTGCATCGAGGAGGCTTTGGTGCTAAACCTGTGCTAATTTCAGCAGGTGTCTGGGTACGCAGGCTCCCGGGTTTTGATAGAAGCAGATAACTCTGGTTGCTTGAGAAATGGGCCCTTTTAAATTCCTTTTGTTACACAATGTGTACCTTCATGAGTGGTGTGTTCAGGGCTTGGTTTTGCAAGCAAAGATGTAACCCTGACTAGTAAATGTTTTTAACCGCTCTGTTTTTCACAAATTTGATATTTACATTTTTGAAACAGCTACGGCAACGCAAAGTATGAGCACATTTGCTCTTTTTTTTCTTTCTGGCTGCCGCACAGACTTGTGTAATTACCCACCAGTATAGATCTGTCATGCCTGTGGCAAACGTTCACTTGAAATGTTTGGCAAGTTTGGGCATTAGTGAAGCAGAAAGCTTGGAATGCGAGGGTTGGACAAACAGCTGAGCTAACTGGTGTCCAAGCAGAGAGAGCACTTGTACTGCTCAGCATCAGGGCAGAATTTGAAATTCCCTCGTCTGATGCAGTGGGTTTGGGAGGCAGGAAGGGGATGGCCCTGTTATTTACCCGCTGCTGAAAATGGAGTTAATGAGTGAACTGGGGATGTCTTGCAGAGCTCCAACAACACTCGTTACAGCTCACAGGCTACTGTGGGGTGTGTGATTGTAATTAGTGATCGTTTTCCTGCTTGCTACACCCATTTTCTGGGTTTGGCTTCATGCAGTTGCTTGGCATGGGAAGGAGATCAACTTCACCTTCGTTTCCTTCAGCCTTTGGTGCCCAGCAGTGCTGCTGAGCTCCAAAGCGCATCATTTAGGTGACTTTTCACTGATAATCTTGGTACCTTCTTGAGCTCTTCCCACTGGAACTGGTGGAAATTCCTGCAGCAGGCAGATGATGGCTGACGTTATGTGACGTAGCTTGCCAGGACCAGGCTGTGGGCGATGGGTGTGCTTCGGCCGCTGTCTCCAGCGCGGCGTCTAAGGGTGATGTGCTCTTCCTAGATCCCATCGTGAAAGACCAGGCTCGGATGGGCTCGTCCAACATGCCGGGGGGCAGCACTCCTGTCAGCAGTGCGAGTATGATGTCAGGTCAGTGGCATCTTAAAGCGTTTACCCAGGAGGGTGAGGATGCAGGTGGGGCGTGAGGTCACCTCCTGGGAGCGATGACGAGGAGGGCTATCAAGAAGTGGGTGGGAGAGCACGAGAGATACGGCCTCGCCGCAGCCTGTCGTGTTTTTCTGGTCCCGTTTTAAGCAGCGCTCTGCGGTTGGGGTTTTTGGCAGCGGTTTGAAGGACGGTGATCCTGCCACACACGTGACGCTCGTGTGTGTACAAACCTGAGCTCTTCTCAGAGGCTGCAGAGAACCATAATGGCTCTTTAATCTCAGCTTCTTTTGGCAGCTCAAAAGATGGAACAAAGCAGCAAAAAAAAAAAGCCGCCGCTTCATTTCGAGCCCTGGTTCCACTCTAACCCCTGCTTACCCCTCTCTCTTCCAGGGATCTCCTCAGTGCCAACACCTTCACCCCTTGGACCTCTAGCAGGCTCGCCCGTCATCTCTGCCACCACCACCCTGGGGATGCCGGTTCCAGCGGCGGCAGGCGCTCAGCAGTAGTGACGGGCTCCGTCTCCTGCTGCCTGGGCTGGGTCAGGTGGGGAAGAGGTTGGTTTTTTCTCCCCCCTCCGCCTCTCCTCAGGACGCAGCTCGTGCCTGGCAGGGGAAGGGAGGGGACGACCGCTTTTGGAGGCACCGTGTCTGAACTGTTGCTTGTGGATTTATAGTAGTTCAGTCATTATATACAAAATTATTATAGGCTGATTTTTTTTTTTTCTTTTTTTACTTGAACTTTTCGTAACTCAGGGGATTCCCTGAAAATACCTACAGATGGAATATTTCTCGGACAGTTGTTTGGTTTTTTTTTGCCCCTACCCCACCCCTTAAAAAAAAAAAAGTACTCTTCATTTAAGAACAAAGATGAATCAACAGCATTTCCAAGCTATTGCATCCTGCTGGAAATCTCTTCTCTCCATTGTTCCCACCATTCCTCCTCCACGAGCCCACACCTCGGGGGATTGTGCTGTTCTCCAGAGACTACCAAACCAAGTCTTCGTGAGGCAGGGGAGGGAATTCTTAAAATACCACTCCCATAAACCCCACGTCCTGCACATGACTCAGCCGGGGTGCGCTGAGGAGACAGCTCCAGCGTGGAGAGGTGGTGTAAGCTTAACGGGAGTAAACGCAGATCATGTCTGAAACCCTAATTGGATTGAATCATGTCTCCTTGGGAGGATGCCAGCTCGCCCCCTTGCATGTAATTTTAGTCTTAAAAAAAAATATGAAATTCCTGATCCAAACGGAGTCCCTGCCACCTCCCGAAAAAGGCGCTCCTGTCGAGTACACCGTACTCTTCATCAGCCCCCTGTCTCTGGAGGCTTCTTCCTGCCCACCGCTTGGCCCGGGTCTCTGGAATTAGTTTGTTATTGGGTCTGTTGTTTTTAAGTTGTTTATCTGAGTTTCAAGCTGGTGGCTACTTAAAGCTGGAAAAATCAGACTGCGCCGAGTGCGATGTCACATCTTCTTCACCCGCCATCCCCTCCCTCACGTGCCATGTGGTGAGAAATACCAGTTACCTCACAGTCTTGTAAATACGCACTGAGAGGAAGGAGCGAGCAGACGTTAACTTAAACTGAAATGGTAGATGAGTAATTGTGGACGAATATTCTCATTGACAACGGAAAAGCACCCTCGTTACAGCCCTGCTACCCCTTGCTGTGTATATATACTTTGTCCTTCATATGTGAAAGATCCAGTGTTGGAATTCTTTGGTGTAAATAAACATTCGGTTTTATTTATCGAGGTTAGATTGGAGTTCCCTGTGTAGAGGCCTCCCCGGGGTGGTGGGATGCTTTGACACGGGTGTAGTGGGCAGGCCGTGTCCCTGTTCTGTTGTGAGCAGTGCAGGGAAGCCTCACAGAAACGGTCACAACCCAAAATATCTCCTGGAGGAAGGGTCTTTTGCCGTAGAAACAAAACGATCTGCTCTTCTGTCTCAGCTCTGATGCAGGGGGAGTGGAGGTACTGAACCAGTGTTTAGTTTTCTGTGTGTGTTGCCGTTCACCGAGTTTCAGTGATTCATTCTCAGCCCTGTAACTCGTGTGGGGCACAGCTGCAGTGGCTGTGAGCACCCCTGTGTGTGCTCTGGGGGTGATGGCCCTGTCATTAATCCCACCTTACCTCCTTTTACAAGGCAGGGTGGAGCTGGGGGTCAAACTGACCACAGAGAAATGGGGCAGAACAGGAAACATGGCCCCTCTCTGGAGATTGCTGGTGAGAGTTGAGGTTTTTCACTTGCACCAGGGTAATTTCTCCCCCGTGCTTTCATCCAGTGGAAATACATCGTGCTTCGTCTTTGGTAACCTCAAATGATGGGAAGGTTGGGCTGCGTTGACCATTTCCTTGACGTGCTGTAACATAAAAGCACCGAGCGTGATGAAAATACAGCTCGTGGTCGTTGGCCCTAGGCTGTGAGCTACACACGACGTTCAAGCTGGTTCTTTTCTGTCATTTCAAGCTGATTTTCTCGCTACTGCCTCCAAACTTTATTTACACCCATTTTTTTGTTGTGGGGTTTTTTAAGTGCCTGCAGGGAGTGGCAGCAGCGCTGGTGGACCTGTTACCGAGTCCTGATTGCGCTGGGAAGAAGCTGCTCTATGGAGGTCTCTGGGTTTTTAATTAAAAACATTCAATTAAAGGTCCCGGGGACCGGACTAAACACGTGCCCCG